ATAAGAAACCGACAACCCTGGTTGACAATGAGGGGCTGGGAGAAAGAGATGGAAGGACGACTTCACATTGCACGTTCTTTTATATCATTTACCTTTTTAACCATGTGACTGTATTATGTGGCCAAAAATAAATGTTAAAAAGAATGAAATCACAACCACGGGAAACAAGAAAAGGTGACATCAGTGTGAAATAAATTTTGAGTGATACCAACAAGAAAGAAAGGCAATGATTTTGGACTAGAAGAGAAATCAGAGCAGAAAACATTGCAGTTCAGGAACTCAGAGGTAAGAGTGGGTTTTCCCAAGGAAACACCCATCTCAGAGACAACAAATGCAAAGAGCAGGGGTAAGGCTGACAGGTAATCATTATGGTAACTCCTTGAAGAGTTGCAGTGGAAACAGCTGGAATAGGTGGGCTCTTTTTTTCTCTCTCTCTCCTTTCCCCCATGAACCCTTTGTCAGCAGCAGCATTTGGCCTTTGCCCTCAGGCTGAAGTTGCCTGAGGAGGGCTTTAGGGAGGGTGCTAAGACCTCTGCAAAAGACAGGAAAAAGAAAACAAAAGGAAAACCAGCATCAGTCAAGAGTGAAACCCTCTAAAGGGCTTCACCCCCAGAGAAAAGCCCTCCTTGCTTTATCAGTTGTGGGGGTCCCTGGCCTTCCTGCCTCTCCACCCACATAACCTAAAGGGAAGCCTGCTTGTTGACAGGCTCTACCCACTGAAACAGAACCCGCAGTCAGCCCTCCCATTCCGGAGAAGGGTTTGTGGGGGGAAACAGATCAGTGCAATTGCAGAGGAAACCCATGCTATCTACCCATAAAAACAAACATAGTTTTTCATTCATAAATATGACCAGACAACAAAGAGTCATCAGACATTTGAGGAAAACTATCAACATGAAAGAGAAGGGCCAAAATAAACAAATGGAACTGACCCCAGAGGACAGAAAGATAATTAAAGGAATAGAAGAAAACTTAAATATATTCCAATTTGTATTCGCCAGAGGCTAGCCAGTGCTACTTTACCAGATTAGAATGTTGTACAGCTCCCCTTTCGATCCCTTTAAAAGAAAATTCAGTAAATTGGCAGAGGTTTTACTAATTCCTTACAATGTGTCAGGAAGCAAGGATTCTGAGTTGTTTTTTTTTTTTTTAATTGTCTCTTTCCTCTAGGAGCTAATGGTAGGGAAATCGAACAAGTCAATTATGACGTAATGTGGCAAATGCTAGGGGAGATGAAGCACAGAAGATGGATTAAGCCTCCCACCTTGTCTGCTGGGAAGGGATGTTTCAGAGGGGCTGTCTTCTTCATCGACCTTAATGGATAAGGGCGGAGAGAGTCAGCATGTGCACAGGGAACAGCTTGACCAAGCACAGTACATTCAGGGGACTAAGCCTAGCTTGATACGGCTGATGCTCAGGGTTGAGCAGGACCAAGTTGCGAAAGATGAAGACAGAAAGGTGGGCAGGGAACAGATCATGTTCTATGCTAAGAATTGAGATGCTGTGCTCTAGGCCAGGGTTTCCCAGACATGTTCAGGGAAAAGAGTCCATGCAAGGCCATTTGTAGAGCAACAACAACAACAAAAAATGGTGATATATTTAACTCTTTTGTATGTACTGGAAATAATTTTCCTAGCAGAAACTATGACTGTGTTCTAGGTTATCAATATAAAATCACAACCACAAGCATAGTCACACCAAAAACAAACTGTTGAAGTATGATCCCTTGTTTTTTGAACTTTTCCCTTGATATCTATTTGCTGCAATTCAGTCACTAGCTAGCAAGAAAGCATAGTAAAAAGGGGGGACAGAGATTTCAGAAAATTTTGCATAAAAAAACTGAAAAATGAAGCAATTCAATCCATCAACTTCATTCTTTTTGTGAACCAAGAGAAAGATGGTCAATATTTGACTTTGGGCGCAGGCACTTTCATGCACTCTATAGATCTACAGATTTCTTGGAAACTAAGGTTGAGAATCACTTCTGGATGCATTAAGCAGCTGAAGTTTTTGAAAGGGGGCCCAACACCAGGGCCAAGGCCACTCCTTCTTGGGGGAGAGACAGGTATGGTACATCCTGACACAAAGGACATTTGATCAAGAATCAGAAATCAGAAAATAGAGCCCAAGTTTGGAAGCTGGAAAGGTAGCCAACTGTTGTAGAGGACCAGGCAGAGGAAGGACGGAAGAAAGAGGAGGCTTCACGGACTGAAGTGCAAGCAGGTTATTCTGGAGCTAATCCCATTCCTGCCGAACATGCCGGGGCACTCGGTCCATCTGTTTCCCTGCGTCTGGTGCAGAATCTTAGGGGGTCAAGTCAGATTAGATAATATGGTCACTTATAAGACTTAGAATTAACATTCTTCTGGCAGTATGAAGGGTGGATGGGGTAGGGCAGGAAGGGAAGCAAGGAGATAAATTCGGAGAGTACAGGTTAGTAATCTAGCAGAGAGAGGATGTAGGCCCGGACTCTGACGTTGGCACGAGAAAAGTGGTGGAGATCAAGAAGCTTTGGGGAAGGGGCGCCTGGGTGGCTCAGTTGTTGGGCGTCTGCCTTCGGCTCAGGTCATGATCCCAGGGCCCTGGGATCGAGCCCGGCGTCAGGCTCCCTGCTCCGCGGGAAGCCTGCTTCTCCCTCTCCCGCTCCCCCTGATTGTGTTCCCTCTCTCGCTGTCAAATAAATAAATAAAAAATCTCAAAAAAAAAAAAAAAAATAGAAGCTTTGGGGAAGAAGAAGCCCCCCTGGGATTGGGGAGGAATCTGGGCAAGAGAGAGGGAGGAATCATGGACGGGTCCCAGGTCTCTGACCCAGGCAATTAGGTGGGTATAGTAGCACTGTACCCTGAGCTAGGAAGAAGCTTGAGGGAGAACAGGTCTGGGTTGGAAGTGGAGTCAAGCGTAGGGCACGCAAATGTGAGGTGGCTTTGGGATATCCAAGTGGACATATTCAGAGGTAGTTATAAATCTGAAGCTCAAGGTTGTAGTTATAGATTCGGGGTTTATCACAATGAAGGTGATAGTGAAAACCATGACAGTGGCTGGGAATCACCCAAGGAAAACGTGTAGACTGAGGAGCAGGGAGGCGAAATGGGAGGGGAAGAGAGGAGCGAAGAATGAGAATAGGCTAACACCAAAGTTTTAAGGGGAACAAAGGAAAAGGGGAATGACACACAGAAGCATTCTGAGAGGCAAGGGGGGAAAGCTTTCAGAAGGGTGACAACAGAATCATAGGTTAACAGACTAATAGAAAGGTCTCTAAAAAATGAACCCTAAAAAGTATTCAGCCCAAACTATTGAGCTAATAATGGTGGGAGCAGTTTCAGGGGAATATTGGGGACGGAAGTCAGACTTCAGGAGGCTGAAGTTGAGGAAGTGGGAGGCAGGGAGCTTGGACAACAACACTTTCTGGAAGGTGGTCATGGGAACAAATCCTGACATGGCCTGCATCTCTGTGCTGGGCCCTTCAGCGTCCTCTCCCTGCGCACTTGGCCGAGCTAATCTTGGCAAGGCCCTTGCAGTTCTGGCATTTTGTAATCCTATGAAACAGGCTTTGGGGAAGTCCTCGAGCCCATTTTGGCTCATTGATCATTTGATCATTTTCCTTCAGTGGAACTCAGGTTACTTGTCTAAGAACTGAAGCCTCTGACCTGACTGATGAAAGTTTATCACGTGCATTGAAGCCACCTACTTGGCAGATGCAGTGAAAAGCTACACAGCTCTGGGCCCAAGGACAGGATGCAGGCGCGTGGGAGGGGAGGAGAGCAGGTGCTAACAATACAGACAGTGTGCCTACCGGAGCACTTTGTTACATTTCCTATTTGTCTCTCAAAACAATTTTATAGGAATCACCAAAGTGATCTTATCATGGTTTCTAGACCAGGTTGGGATGTGCGGTAGGGATTTCCACGGCTGCTTTTGTTTCGAAGGCAATCTGATAAGACGACACAAAAGCCATTGAGAAATGCATAATCCTACACATCTCAATGATTCAGTTCGTTGTCAAAACTTGGGGTGTTTTTGATGTTGTTATTGTTCTTTTGTTTTTTACTAGTATGTAAGGAGGTGGCAATGATTTGGAAAACTCATTATCTTTGGCTAAACAAATCCCCCAAATTCAGGATGAGTTGTCTATTGCTTAACACGTCTCAAAGATCTTCCGTGCACATTTTTATTTGATCTTTGCAGCAGCCTATAGTGATTTGCCTGAGGTCCATAGCCATTTGTTGGTAGAACAAGAACTAGAATTCAGGTCTCTTAACTGGAGCCTGTTCTCTCTGTTCCGAGCCATTACACCAGCATCGGGAATTATCTGACAGACTGCAATAGTGTAGACAAGCAATTTGGCCAAGTCAAGCGAAGATTCCGACTTTAACCTCGATCCCAGGGTTTTGGACCCATTTCCTTCAAGACCCTCCTTCTCTTGGCCCTTGAGAAATTTATGTTTCTTGAGTTACCTGTCCAGCTAAAATTTTTTTTAAATAACTGTCAGCACTCCTTTTTGCTTCGTGCCATGTAGACTTGAAAAGCTGCTGGGATTTCACTGGGTTTGAAGATTAAAGAAGTCTTAAGAAGCAATTAGCTGGGGGTATACCTGTCATAAAAATCAATCCAAACTTTTGTTGACATTCGTTTCTTTCCCCATATGCCAGGTTCCCGGTTTGTATTAGTAAGACTGAAATTGAAATAAGTCTGTTGCTGGTGGACACATTTGTCACTTTCCTTGAAACTGGTGAACCCAGAAAACTAGCGATAGGAAAATATCGCCATTCTCTGTTAAGAAGTCTATGACATTTCAAGGCAAGAATGAATGTATGGAAGAAGAGACTTGTTTCTTCTTTACTAACAAAAGGGAAAGCCTGGAAGTGAATGATATGGGTATAATTAAAAAAAAAAAACAAAAAACCTTTACGTAACTTTTTTTTTTTGCTGGGAGAGAAGACTACGAAGCACATTTTCCAGGAAGTGTGGGCTGCAAAGATTGTGCGCTCTTAACTAATCCTGAGTAAGGTGGCCACTTTGACAGTGTTCTCATGCTGCCTCTGCCACCTTCTCGGGCTGAAGATAGCATTTCAACTCTAACACAGCATGATCGAAACATATAGCCAAACTGCTCCCCGATCCGTGGCCACCGGACCACCCGTCAGTATGAAAATTTTTATGTATTTACTTACTGTTTTTCTCATCACCCAGATGATTGGGTCAGCACTCTTTGCTGTGTATCTTCACAGAAGATTGGACAAGGTAAGCTGAACCAGGAGCCCTTGTTAACTCAAGTTGGGGGTCCTCATTGATTTGCGGGTTGATTGGTTTTAGGTCTACCCAGATGATGGACAGTGGTGGGAGTTCACATAGCTAAAATGGTCTTGTGGCATAATGCTTGTCATCTAGTTAGTAAGGTCTCCTGCTCTGGTCTTGGGTCGAGAGCTCGGGCTCTGGAGTCAGACTGCCTCGGTTCAAATCTTGACTCTGCCCCCTAATAGCTCTGCGATCCTGGGCAAGTTATTTTATATTTCTGTGCCTCAGCTTCCACGTCTGAGAAACAGGGAAGATAATAGTACCCACCTCGTAGATTAAATGAATTTAGCCTCATAGCAAGATTAGAGCAGAGCCCTGTGCAAAGTGAGCACTAGGTGGGCATTAGCTATAATTCTTTGCTAAAGTTTTGTTTAAGAAGTAAACTTTTCTGATGGAGACGCCTTTTTTTTTTTTTTAATTGCTAACTAGAGAAGAAGAGTGTGAATTTGATCTGAAACTTCCTAGTATTTCAGATGAGCACAGACATGGATAAGTCCGGAATTTGCAGTCTTAGAGTAAAAGCGGCATTCTCTCTATAACTCTTCACTGATTGTAGTTGCAAGCTGCTCAGTTTCCCTCTGAGATGTTTTACATTCTCAAGTGGCTGGACTTACAGGAACAAAACCGTAGAGTAACTTAGGAGGTAGTTTTGCATCCTCAGGACAAAATAACTGTTGGGATTTATCCTGTTTCAGTGTGTTTACCCATTTCCACTGAGGGGCATTGTTGGCTGTAACCGACAGAACATCAATCATATATGAAAAGGAGAAATTTGATGAATTATCTGGCTGTTCCTATAAGTCTGGATGTGGGGACTGTGGCTGTACAACATCTGGAGACTGCATTTTCTCAGGGATGTTTGAATGCCCTCTATTGGGATCCCATCCTAGAATTAACGCCATGAAGTTTTTCATCAGGATAAGGAGGGGCAGTGACGGCTGGGGCAGTAACTCACTGAGTTACTCTGATTTTAGTTGACTAAAGAGCAGGGTTCTGGGTCTGGTTGTTCGTTTGGGTTTGGCCTGGTGGGCTCTGTCAATCAAATGCCTGGACCTAAGCCTAGCCTCTCTATGGGGGGAAGCGGCGACCACATCTACCAAAGCATTGAGGTGTGTTCTTAATGACAGTGGAAGCCACTGGCTAAGTGGATCTTGTTTGAAAACAAGAAAATGGTCCAGAATCAGTTGATTATACAAGTGAATTCCATACATTTAATTATTCTGAGACATTGGAAAATAAAATCTCTCTCGTTAACTTTGGGAATGAAAGATGGTTTCCTTAAAAATGCAAATGTTTTCCACAAATACTACAGTTAAAAAGAGAGAGATGTAATTAGAACTCAAGTTAATTGACATACATTGCAAATTAACTTCTTTTTATAAAGCACTGCAGCACCAACTAAAATGAAGTGGGCAAATGAGCTCAATGGAAAACGATTTTAGACGCTGGGTTCACAATGACCGATCGTTACAGAGCAATGAGGAATATGATCATTCTCGAATATTGCTGCTATAATACATGGACAAAATGTATACTTTGTAATGAAATTTTATTAGAATAGCTGTGATTTCTCCCTAGAGTTTCGGGTAATAGGACATTTTAATTGGTGGCTTTTGTCGATTTTTTAATGGCTGATACCAAATAACAATAATCCGGTATAATAACTTTTATTCCCCATTTATATCTGCAAAATCCTCCTCCTGTTACCGATGCCATGGAAGTGATTGTAGGGGCAGACATCATTAGCTGTCTTCTCCAGAATTATGTTTCTCATGTCCATGTTATTTCACAAATAGATAGAAGATGAAAGGAATCTTTACGAAGATTTTGTGTTCATGAAAACGTTACAGAAATGCAACAAAGGAGAGGGGTCCTTGTCCTTACTGAACTGTGAGGAAATTAAAAGCCGGTTTGAAGCCTTTCTCAAGGTAAGGAGCTCAGTTGTTGATTAAAGGGTCGTTGAAACGTTTTACTGCTTTTGCTAGGTCAGGAAATGAACGCTGGCGATGGAGAAGTTTTGTAGACATAGGTACATATGTGCGTACATATATACATGGGTATATGTATCCAATAAAAAAAAAAAAGGAAAAATGAAGCCAAAATCCTATGTGAAAGGGAAAGGGAAATTGGAAGTGTGCACATTCGTAGGAATGTTCTTGAGAGGAACAAAAGAGCCTCTCTTGGGGATACTACATGCAGCTGCCCCTGTGAACATTAATGAAACACACCGAGTTTGGCCCTTGGCATTTCCCTATCTTTCCATCCAAACTTTGCTGCCTTGTCACTGCGGACCCATGGTCGGGTCCCCATTTCCCAGGGGAGCGAGAATCACTGGCCGGCCACAGGGTACGGGCCTGCCCTTACTGAGGGTAGTAGGGACTTCTGAAGGCTGGGGCTCTCACACACAAACGAACGCTTCTCTCGTGACAGAATTTCAGGTGCCATGAAAGCGAGATCTTTCCCTTTTATTGTGAGGAGAGCTGTGGGGAAAGGGGGATGGACTTTCTCGGTGCCGCTCAAACCAGACCCCACAGAGCACCACTTGCTCATGAAGCCAGTCCACTGTAGGGCCGTCCAAGCCCTGAGGTGGACAGAGGCCCCAGCGAGGAGTCACTGCAGTCTCTGGGGCCTGGAATAGGTACTGCAAACAAGAAGTCTTAAGAGTGTTTACTGAGGACGCACTTAACAACATGAATTCCATCATCACGGACAAGGAGTCCAGAAGCTCTTTCTCCTGGAGCAGAACATCAGTCTTTCTGCTTGTTTCCCCTCTCAGAACACTGAGTAAAATACCCTTGGCCCTCAGCTCACTTTGGGGTCACGAATAGGAGGCGGGGGGGCGGGGGGGCGGGTACTCTGGATAAACCAACAGCAGTTAGTTCTCGCATATAAATAATGTATCATTTAACCTGGGACTAAAGGGCTTGAGATCTTATTTCTGAGCTTATTCCTGTCCTCCAACGGTAAAGACGCTAACAGCCTAGTCCTGTGTCACCTACTTGAATCAGAGTGCAGCCCAAATCCGCTGCTGGCTTTTGCATTCTTTACACTCATCTAGGCTCTAGATGAAGACTCCTCTTCATTGGCCAAGCTTGGAAATGAGTTGAGCTTCTCTGGTTGTCCGAGGATTCTGGCCAGTACTCTAGGGTATTGGGAGGTGTTGCAAATTTAAATGGGAAGAAAGCCACTTCCAGAACTACAGTTATTAATCCAAATATTTACTGGATATTTAATGTCCTTGGCCATGCGACCTTGGGCAAATGGCCTCACGTCCCCGGGCCTGTTTTCTCATCTATAAATGAGAGGGCTGAGGTTATCTGCCCTGATGTTGTGTGATTATATGATCAGCCTTGCAGCGAGAGTGCTGCTGGTTTTCCCCCTCCTCTCTCTCTCTTACTGAGAGTCTTACCGTTCAACGGCCAATTTCTAATGGCTTTATTTCAGGTCAGATACGTAAAACTTCCCAAATCAGCTACCCAGGAGAGGAGCAAGGGAAACTGGCGGGCTTGGCCTCTCTGCTTATGCTTGCACGAAAAAAGTGACAGCTCCAAAGTTCCATATTCTAGAAAGGCAGACCTTCTCAGGCCTGTCAACCAGGGCTCCTGACGTAAGGCAAGAGGAAGCCCCTCGCCTCTACTACCACAGGAGCGGGATCCTAGTCAGTGCCATATGTCACAGAGTCCTCCGGCTTCTCAGTCCTCCCCCGAAGACCGACCCGCTTTCCAATATCCATTCTGCCAAATTTCTCATTCTAAACAATATTTTGGACGACTTTTTTTTTTTTTTTAATCCAGCCGGCCACCTGCAGAGTAACCCCAAATTGGATTTTCATCTTCTCAGTGAGTGTTAGCAGGGCTTTCTTTCTGGGCTTCACGGTCTGACTGGACCAGGACAACCAAAGGCTTGAATCCGGGGGTTCCAAATCATAGGACTTGAAGGGGTCTTAGAAGTCACCAGATCCAATGATCAACCCAGGACTTCAGTCTTCTCCCCACAGCCCCTACCGAGTGGTCACCAAGGTCTGCTGGGACAGCTCTAGTGACGAGTAACTCATTAGCTCCTGAGGCAGGTAGCACCAAGCTGTCACTTTGAGGGGAAGATGGAATTTGGGGCTTATGCTCGGGTAAGTGCAGGCAGCGTCTTGAAGAGTGTAATGTCACGGTAAAATCACGCCACCCCGCTAGACTGGTCAGTTCCAGGGTCGTCTGCCCCCCTCCCCCAGGCCTGAGATGTCTTTGATGAGGGTCAAAGCATTTCCTTTTCAAGGTAAAGGTCAACCTGTCCACACCTGCCGCATAGACTTCCCAGTAAGAGAGAAATCACTAATCTGAGATTTTTCTGAAAGTCAACTTTGAAAAGTCTTTCAGTTGAGGTGGGGAGTGAAGGAAGGGGGAAAAAAGGGCTCTGGGGAGTGTGGCTGGGGGAAAGTTCACAGAAAGGCAAGGCTGGGCACATAAAAGACAAACTTTGCTGACTTCACGTTTTCATCTTGGCCAAACCCTGACACCAGTGCAACCACGTAGCCTAAAAGTATCTCAACCTCGATCATCACACTCCATTTTTGAGAAGACACTAAATACTCATTTGTTTACTGGCTGTCTCACAAACATTTTCCTGTCGCCGCACTTTCTCAGCTCAAGTGGAAACTTGAAGGCCTGTGGTCCCTGTGAGCTTTTCGAGGCGCAGGATCCCCAGTAGGGCTCTGTGACTTTCACCCTCACAGCTGGCAACCGAGCTGAGCCTACCGGGGACGCTCAACAGTCCCGACAGTAATTCCTTTTGGGGAAGGAAGGAAAGGAAAGGCCCTATAGAAAATGGAGTCCAGTAATGGGAAGGCGCGCAAGCCTTTGATTATCAGAGGGGAAAATACTAGTGTGCTCGGCACTTGTATTTAGAGCCCAGAGTGACGGTGTGAGCTAAGCAAATAGCCAACTCCATACAGAGATACAGATACTGTTTTCTGAGGCAAAGAGAGTAATCTCCATGATGTGAACGTGATCTCAGAGTTTCTGCTCTTGGCTTCAGCCTCAGACTCTTGGGTGACCTCGTGCCAGCCTGCTAAGCCCTCGAGGCCTTGTATTCAGTATCTTTAAAATGGCAGCCGTAGCCCGGATTCCCTTCCTGCTTGTGTTGATGGCCATGCCCGTGAACTCCCCCAGTTGCTAAGTGAAAAGAAACCACTTAAGAAGTGTTGCATCTGCCTTTGAACACCAGCATCATTGGGAGATTACCTGGGTTTCCTATACGCTGATTATTCTAAATATATCCAGGCCCCACAAGGCGACCAACTGCAAGAGAATCTCCTCATCCCCTCGACAGGGACAAGACAATAAAAAATGCCTGAGGGTCTGTTTGTAGTCTGGAATTTCTTCCCAAGGTCAAACGTACTATTACCGTTTCCTAAGAGATTTCAGACCAATTTTATTCTAATAGATACACGCCTTGCTTTATGTTTAATAATATTCTGTATACCAGTTCCCAAGGTAGAAACGTCTCCCCATTCAGCATTATTTGTCAATACCCGTCAAAGGCGGGGAGGCTGGGGTCATAGGAAGGGTCAGCTTCACAGCCTCCGGCCTGGAGAGAGCACTGCAGTGGAGATAATAGGGCCCCGATCCTGCCTCCAGGCTCACCCCTGGGCTTTCTGGGCTGTCAGCTCATCTGTCAGAGCCACGGGCTCCCAATCGCTATGATGGAATTAATGACAGGATCTAAGTCCGTGTGATAATCCTCACCAGGAAGAGGCAATAGAGTCATGACAGATGCCAGATGCATGATACCTCTAAAACCCCACACCAGATTTTTCCTGTCAAAATGACCTTTTGCACTATTCTTATTTTAGGAGATAATGCTAAACAAAGAAGTGAAGAAAGAAGAAAGTGTTGCGATGCAAAAAGGTAGGCTGCTATTTATCAGTTTTTGTGAACACTTCAAACCTAAAAGGAAGTTTCAGGCTGATCACACTGAACAACCCAGTTGTTAGAATTAGGGAACTTTTAGCCCTGGAAATAAAATAGGACTACAACGGCCAAATGGACACCTTCTCTAACACCTGTGATTTGGAAAGGTTTTGTATGTGCACATGTATGGGCGGCAAGGCTGTGTTCCTGTGATGCTGACAATACCTAGGATGAAGAAATGCCACTGTTTTCAATATCTTCATCAAAGCAACCATACAGCCTGGTGCCACCCACAGAGGATAAGGTGACAAGAAAGTCATCGCTGGCATTCATCGCTCAGTGATAATAGCTTTGGGTGGGGAACCATGGCCAGTGGAGTGTCTGCGATCAAGGAATGATTCTGTGTGACAACATTCCATTCTTTGCCCTGTCCTCCATGTCAGAACACCTCCAACATCTCAGGGTTGGAAGGGATCTTGACTGGAAGGAAGGGTTCTCAAACGCAGCGCCACCCACATAGCACGAATCTCTTTCACAACCATCTGGCCTCTGATCCAACACGCTAGGCACGTTCTAGCTCATTCATCATCCTGGTCCAACTTAGAATGGCTCTAGTAATTATAATAAGATTACTGTACTACTCAGAGAGAAGTCTTTCCTCCTCTGGAGTTGAAATTTGGTCCCATAATCTCCGCTCACGGGACCCAGTTCTGCTCTTTGGGACCATGCTAAGCAAAGTAGAATTTTTCTAGACAGCAGCCGTCCAGATGTTGAAAACAGCAATCATGGCCCCCAAGCCTTTTCTTCTCCAGGCTAAACCTCCCCAGTGTCTTCCACTGTTCCTCCTATGACCCTTTCCGGGGCTTCTCCTCTCCCTGTTCCTCCTAGAATTTAGCACCCCAAACACAATAATAATGCTTGGAGTGAGCGAGCAGCTGAGCACGGGGGAGATGGAGTGTTGGCAGACCAGTGTTATTCACAACGTCAGTGAAAACGATGCTATCTATGGCTTATTAATACATACAAAGAAATATATCCATACAGAGATACAGACACTATTTTCTGAGGCAAAGAGAGTACTCAGAGCTTGCTTTAACTGTTGCTCTGGATGCAGTGGGCCATCTGATTTCCATGAAGTTTTCGTCTTCAGAATGACTGTAAGATGTGTTGAGTGGTACCATGCTGTCTGTGAGTTACAGTGAAATTTGAGGAAACGGTGCACGTGGGTGTTGCCTAGCAGTCTTCAGGAAAAGGATCAACTTAACTGGTTATCGAGGTCATGCAATTTGATTCAGTATTTATAGGGCGCCTACGAAGTGTCTGACAGCAGGCTCATTCTTGGAAAAAAAAAAAAAAAAGAAACTTCCACACAGTCTCCGCACATGGGACATCGGCACATCTAATTAAAGAGCAAAGTTTTTACATGAGAAACAACCCGAGCTAGGTACAATAGTTTGGCCAGTTGCTTGACCACATCAGACACTGTTGGCATCATACCAGCTAAGTGTGCAGACACCACCTTGGGGCCCAGTGAGGTTCCCAATGGCCAGGAGCTGTTTCTAACAGCAAGATTCAAAATACGTTTCACCAAGACCAGGAGTTTTAGCCTGCGTCAATCTAGCTGAAGTGGAGTCAGGTACTGAACGACCATTAGAAGAATGGGATCAATGCAAATAGCCAACTCAGTTGTTCAGATTCTAGAAACCTGCTCTTCCCCTGTGACAGGGATTTCAGACCGTTGTACTCTTCCTTTTGTGTAACCTACTTACGCCCTGTCTCTATGACATAGCTCTAGGACTAGACCAGATAGTTCTGTGGGCAGTATGGTATTGCTTTGGCCTGACAGTTGGCTTTTGGTTTCATTTCAGGTGATCAGGATCCTCAAATTGCAGCCCATGTCATAAGTGAGGCCAGTAGTAACACAGTGTCCGGTAAGTCCAAAGCCTCCGAGCCGGTCACCTGGGTGGGAAGGCTGGGATGCGCAAGCACGGCAGCCTAATGACCAGGCTCCTCTCTTCCTCTGGGGCCCAATTTACCAACCCATCCATACACCTCTCATATGCTCTCCTTTGTCTTCAAAGTGAGCTCAGATGCACAGATGGGACTTGAAGGGACAAAAGGAGGTGGGAAGCAATCCCGATGTTCTCATTATGTTCTTGCTCAATGGCCGATTCTAAATGATGAATTGCTGGGTAGAGGGAGCATTATTCTGAGAACATAGAAGAGATGGCAGGTAGTGACCTCCTGGCTGGGAGCATCCCTCACGCTAACCCCTCTTCGCTGTGTGTAAATGGGCCTCAGGGGGTACTTCCTGCCATCTGTCAATCCCTGTATGATTAACCCCAGCCTCACGGGGGCCAACCTCAGGGAAATTAAAGGTAAAATCATTCTGCAAAGATCAATAGGTGCCGGGACGTTAGATTTTCCAATGAAGTAACAGCAGACGACATACTGTAATCTTTTCAACTCTGAAAAAGTTTATTTCCATATACGTTCTGCCATCATTCTAGCTCTTAGATCTTTTTTCCCAAACCTGTACCTTGAGAGAGCTGGTGCTGGAGAATTTGTCGCATCTGATAAATGGATGGAAACATGCCCGCGAGCACGAAACCCCCTCGCTAGATAAATGCAGTCTGAGGGCTTCAGAGCAGTCTTGGAAAAATTTAGCACAGTTTTCCAGAAGGGAGTTCTAAACAGTGTGTGTGTGTGTGTGTGTGTGTGTGTGTGTATGTGTGTGAGAAACACACACACAATGAGAGAGATAGAGATAGAGACAAAAAGAGAGAAGAGGAGATACCACCTCATCTCTGAGGTGGCTTGGGCTTCTCAGTGGGCGTAACATATACGTGGTTATCACCGACCATGATACGGAAGGAAGAGCACTGGATAGGAAGTTTTTGAACTGAGATTCTAGAACCGTGACTACCACTTGCTAGGTGACCTTGGGCAAGTCCCTTTACTGCCATGTCCCGCCTCACTTACTTCACAGGGTGACCCTCAGCATCAAATCAGCTGATGTGGAAGGAGGTCATACTGTCGTGTGCTAGACAAATGCAAGGTGCCGTTACTTAGCTTCCTTTACTGTAGTTTAGATGTCAGAAGAGTCGCAGAAAGCCCTTCATTAATACCAGTTATTTCCTACCATATTTAATAATCCTGCCAGGTGGCCATTCTCAGAAAATACACTTATGGGAGAACATCCCAGCTGTGGTGACTTGTCCGGGGTGGCGGTCCACATGACACTTGCACACCCGGATTGCATGACCTCAACAGAAACACCACTTAGAAGAGTAGCTTCCCGCTGGTCTTTGCCCACCAAGCGCAGAAATCCTTGCCCTTGGATAGATTTCGTGGCCTCAGATTCTGCCAAAGAGTCCAAGATTGATATGGTCCCAGCATATTTCGGTCCGCCTCACAGGAGGTCCGCAGGGGATCAGGTGTGAAGACAACAACATTCCTCAACCGCCCCCAGTCCCAAACCCCCCACTCCTGCCTGGTCATGCTGCCACAAGCTTGACCTGCACCCCACAGCAAGGACAAAGATTAGGTAAGGATTTACAGAGATAATCCTAGTGGACTAAAAGATAGAAAACCTGCCCTTGGCTTCTCAAATGGCCTGAAAGTGAAAACATCATAAGGAAGTGTCATTTCTGTAGTGGTCCGGAGGGCCAAGAAATGTCAGACATTTCAGGATGCCTTTCCTGTTACTAAAGGATGAATCTTAACAGCTTGAATCTCACACCCTGCTAGATCGCCAAATAGGAATTTTTAAAAAGGGCTCAAGGAAGCAAATGATCGATACTTTCACTTCTCCCCAACCCCCACGCCCGGCAGTCTAGCTGGCTGTGGGAGCTGAGATTTGAAATCGGGTGCACACACTACTTTGAACCCACTCAACATCTCCGCCGAGAAAATGGCACACCGTTGGTGGGTACTCAGGTTTAGCCACAAGAACACAGGTACTTTCAAGTTGGTGGCGCCCACTACAATGGAAGATCAAAACACACAGTGAAATGACAGGTTCATTTTCATACTTCCTTGCCTAATTTTAGTCCTTGCTGTGGGAGGCAGGTCGGGTTTGCGACAGCATGTGCAAGTAGGAAGAAATGGGGTCTTTCCTTTTGTCAGCTGAGGCGGAGCTACATAGACCGGCAACTCTTTGACTTTGTAAAATCCAAGGAAGGCGAGATAGTAGTGTTCATATCAGCAAGGATTTTGTCTGAATGTCTTATAAGTGTGCATAGTTTAGGACATGGAATTTTGAAATCACTCACACTTGAAGTTCAAGGGCAAATTGGCTCTATAAACGCTCTAAAGGAAGAAGGAAACTCACTGTGCCCGGTTGCTGTATTTAATCTTCAAAACAAGTCTCTGAGAGACTCTGTAATACTAGCCCCGTGTTACAGATGAGAAACTAAAAGCTCAGGGTGATTGAGGGTCTTGGCTCGAGCTTGACTAAAGTCTGGATTGGAACCCAGCTCCATCCGACTGTGAAGCCCCTGCCGATCGGTCAGCCCCCAGCTATCACGTGTATATGAAGCTGGTATTGAACGTTAAACTCTGTGTTGTGGAGGAATGGGAGCCATGCATGCCTCACCTCACCACGAACTCCCCCTCTCCGTTACAGTTCTCCAGTGGGCCCCGAAAGGATACTACACCATAAGCAGCAACCTGGTAACCCTCGAAAATGGGAAAGAGCTGGCCGTGAAAAGACAAGGACTCTATTACATCTATGCCCAAGTCACCTTCTGTTCCAATCGGGAAACTTCGAGTCAAGCTCCATTTATAGCTAGCCTCTGCCTGAATTCCCCGAGCGGATCCAAGAGAGTCTTACTCAGGGCTGCAAACACCCGCAGCTCCTCCAAACCTTGCGGGCAACAATCCATCCACTTGGGAGGAGTATTTGAATTGCATCCAGGTGCTTCGGTGTTCGTCAACGTGACTGATCCAAGCCAAGTGAGCCACGGGACGGGCTTCACGTCTTTTGGCTTACTCAAACTCTGAACAGTGGCACCTCGCAGGCTGCGGCTGAGCTCATGCTGGTGGTCTTCGTAATACAGCAAAGCAGTTAAGACCACCCCCTGTTGAACTGCCTATTTATAACCCTAGGATCCTCCTCGTGGAGAACTATTTATTGTACACCCCCAGGCATGTAGGGCTGCGGGCATCCAGAGAGTCCCATGAAAAGACGAGACCATTATGCGCAGATGGAATTGTGAGTAAACGGCAGATCATTAGTCAAGTTTCGTTTCGTTTCTTTGCATGCAGTGTCTTTCCGTGGATAATGTATTTGATTTCCCAGCGAAGACGCGGAAGGGCAATGGGGAGCCTCAGCCCTGGGTCCCCGCGGCCCTGATGGAGGGGCCAGGCTCTAGAAAGTCTGATGCAGCGGAGAACTGAAAAACCCTGCCCCCACCAGCCACCCTGACTCTCATCCTCTCCCTCCTCCGCCCCCCCCCCCGCCCCCTAGACACACACAGTCAGGCTGTTGCTAATCGGTTATCTTATTTCAACCCTGTCGCGTCTCCAGCACTGTAGGCGGGAGGAGAGAGCAGAGGCAGAAGCTCTGAGGCTGCCCACTCCTCCTCCCGAAATGACTGTATTTAAAGGAAATCTCTCGTATCTACCTGCAGTCTCCCTTGTTTCCAGAGTGAACTTGTGATGATCTTGTTATTTATTTTTTGAATAATAAAGTGCCCTTAATGTTATTGTTGTCATCTAGCACCGAAAGCCCTCGGCCAGGTTGGCGGGGGGTGGAGGAGGAATTGTTGGGAAGGGTTCTTCCCAACCTCGGTGATGGGTTCATGAACTTGGTTCTCAAGCTTCTTGCACCACTAAATATCTTGGCGACCGCACCCTGCCTGGCTGTCTGCGATAGGCTTTGATGGATCGACGTGAAGCTTGTTCGGTGAAAAGCAATCTGGGTCTTTATTTCCAGCCTGCTCTGGAAAGGCTGCAGGGGATGAAAAAGAGACTTTTTGTTCTTGATTAATCACACCTAAGCGAGGCTGGAGGGAGGATCTTTAATGAAAAGCAGCTGCTGATCTTTTTCATACTGTCTAGGTGGTTCTACCTTGGGTGAGAGGCAATGGAGCTGGGACAAACTGGGGAGAAGTACTGGTTCCCCGTTCTTCCACCGAAGCCAACAGACCTATTCTTGGTCACCTCCAAGAAACCCAGAGTGGCTTGTTCATTTTTATTGGCAGAGTGCGTTGCTTAAAGCAAACACCTAGGTTCAAGCAGGAAAATATTACTGTAGGAATAGGAAAGGGGAATGGGGGGGGGGTCCACTCTGCCCACCAGCCCTGCTCTTTGGTCCTGTGGACCACACAGCCCCTCCTGGACTGAGTGACTTTGAAGACGTTCTAGCATGAATTGCTAACACAAGGCTGAAATCATGCTAGTTGAACTTGCTTGGCTGCATACCGTCTTCAACGAGAGAACTTTGGTATGAGCAGAGGTGACATTGCTCGATTCAGGGACTCATGGATACGTCCTCAGTGCTGTCTTGTCCTCCGGAGCAAAGATCCTTCTACAGCCTTGTCCTCTGCACGGGACACTTGAAGGAAGTGGGGCAGCGGCATGGCAGCAGGGAGACATTGGTCATGAGATTCTCATAGGTATGGGGCTCCCTTAGGAAGGTCAGGACCCCAGGTCCAGCTGAGAAGAGGGCCTGGCCCCATCCACAGAGAAGAGACAATCCACGGGTCATGATTTTCCCTCCCTCACGGTACCTGAGTGCCCACTTTGGGGGACAGCAGTACTTGCCCGGCTCGCCCAGGTGAGACATGGGGGCGGGGGTGGGAAGAAGCATTACCCGTTTAGTAAGGTTCTTGCGAAGGGAATCCATGTCCAGCCTGGACAAAACTTTTATAGTCTTTGTGTACTCACATGCTCTGATTTAAACATTGCCCTTGCACTTCACCCTACCTTCTTCTTTGGACATCATATCTCCCAATTATCTCTGCCTCCGGCAACCAAGTTGCTAACGATATCTGTTATCAAAGGAATGCTACAGTTACAAAAACTACATGTTCTAGTCTATTTCTTCTGCTCTCATGCTTCCTGCTGCTCACTAAAAGACACCTCCCAGAGCTCCCGTCCAGAACTTGCCCCTGCATGTCAGCCTCACCTAGCCAACTGCCTTCAGCCTCTCAGACTACTTCCTCATGAGGTCACCTTGTCCTTTCCAAGAACTCCAGTCTCATCCTTTACCCTCGTATCTTCCTGTCCTACATGCTCACAGTGGGCTGTCTCCTCGACCCCGCCAACTCCTGGGTTCAAACACCACCTTCATGCCTTTAGTCCCGACCTGCCTCCTGCAGTTTGTCCCCTCAAGCCCAATGCATCCAAATGGAACTCCGAATCTTTCCCCCAACACAACACGGCCCACTTTGCCGGTGAATGGCAGCCTCATCTGCCCAAGCCAGGGACCTGCCTTGACTTCTCACTGTCCTCACTCCCATGTGCAATCCTACCAGCATAAATACATCACCTCTATTTCTTAAATAGTCTTTAAATTAATCTACTTCTTTCTGTCTCTACTGCCACTATCCTAGTCCACACTACCGTTCATCTGTCTCCCAGAATACAACAGCAGCCTCCCAGCCTCCCTGCCTCCACCCTCGCTCCTTCTCATTCATTCTCCGTGCACCAGCAAAGTGAATTAGCAAATGAAAGTCTGATTTGGGGCGCCTGGGTGGCTCAGTCGGTTGGGCATCTGCCTTCGGCTCAGGTCATGATCCCAGGGTCCTGGGATCGAGCCCTGAGTCAGGCTTCTTGCTCAGTGGGGAGCCTGCTTCTCCCTCTCCCTCTACCCCTCCCCCTGTACTCCTCTCTCTCTCTCTCTCGCTTGCTCTTGCTCTATCTCAAATAAATAAAATCTTTACAAAAATAAATAAATGTCTGATTTTTCCACTCCCCTGCTTCATCATCTCCTGCAAATACCTCTCTCAATGTCTTAAGTTCCAACCCTCAGTTCCGCTAAGCAAGGCTACATGTACTCTCCCGCCTTGGGACCCGGGCATGCTGTTTGCTTGGAACCCCCATCCCCCTCCCCACTGCACCCTGCACTGAGCTTCATGGCACTTACCAAAGTTGAGGTTTTTCCTACTATGCTGTGAGCTTTTTGAGAACCAAGACCTTGTCCTGTTCATCTGCTCATGGTGACTTCAGTGTCTGCCATAGCGCCTGGCATAGAATTGGCCCTTGATTCATTGTACGAAGAAAAAAATGAGTGAATAAATGCCCCTGCTTGTAACTTGGTTAAGTAGTTCATGAAATAATTCTGGGTGTTGGATAAAGCATAAATTTGCCATACTGTAAAAATATTTTATGTCCACAACATGTATATGATAAAACTGTACTCAAGGAGCACAGAATGACTGCGAATTATACTGTAGATAAAAATAAATAATCTCTTTTTCTGGGGTGCCTGGCCAGCTCGGTTGGTGGAGCATGTGACGTTTGAGCTCGGGGTCCTGAGTTCGAGCCCCACGTTGGGTGTGGAGATAACTTAAAAATAAAATCCTTAAAAAATACATCATCTATTTTCACTATATGGTTCATGATAGTTTGCAAAACAGTACATGAAGTTGGTCCAAACTTCACTTGAATATTTTCAAAGTTGTTCTAATAAATGATGGAGACTTGAGAACCTATAATATTCTGATCATAAGTTATCTAATACCATCCCATTTTTATAAACGTGTTACTTTTACATTCCATCTAAGGATTGGCAGGAAGGGAGTGCTTGAAACGACCAATGATTTATTATTTCCAGGTAAAGAGAAAATGAACAAAGTACGAAATATTACTATCACTCTTACTTGGTAGGAAGCAAATGTCTAAACGATGCAAACAGTGTGCCCAGGCAAGCTGTGGGTACGGGGCACCCCAGTTAAAGGAAAACAACACATTGACTCCCGGGCTCCAGGAGGGAACACATTTCATGCTGAATTTGACTATTTCCACAGGGCCTGATGCCACTGTGTTGGAGGCCACACTGCCGTAGGCCTTTAAAGCAGTCTGAATGAAGTAAGAGACGCAGAAACCTGGAACATGAAGCTAAGTAGAATTTTTTTTCTCTCTCTCTGAAACACATCTCCAGTTAAAAAAACGAAACCAGGGATGCCTGGGTGGCTCAGTCAGTTAAGCATCCGACTCTTGATCTCAGCTCAGGTCTTGATCTCAGGATCGTGAGTTCAGGCCCCGCATTAGGCTCCACGCCGGGCATGGAGCCTAATTTTGAAATAAGTAAGTAAATAAATAAATAAATAAATAAGTCAAAACGTTTTTTAAAAACCCCAGAAAGGGGCTCCTGGGTGGCTCAGTCAGTTAAGGATCTGCCTTCGGCTCAGGGCATGATCCCAGGGTCCAGGGATAGAGTCCCGTGTTGGGCTCCCCGCTCAGCAGGAAGCCTGCTTCTCGCGCTCCTTCTGCCTGTCTCTCTCTCTCTGTCAAATAAATAAATAAAATCTTTAAAAAATAAATAAAACCCTCAGAAATAGTCATTGTAGTGTAGTGGTTGCATCTGGAGTCAGAGAGACACCGTCCTAATCCAGGCTCTGCTATTTTACCACCTTTATAACCATGGCAAGTCATTTCTCCTCCTCTGGGCCTCAGGGTCCTTGCCTGGAAAGCAAGGTTTATGAGGGTTTAACGAGATCATTCACAGAAAGTCCCCAGCAGAGCCTGCTCTCTGGAACAGAACACCAGTCTGAGACATCTGAGACCAAGGAAAACAGGCCTCGCCCATTGTAGTAGGCCAAAGACCACACCCAGTTTGAAGGAAAGTAAAAGAAAAAAAAAGGCAGGGGATTAGATCACATACCTAACATTACAATAGATTTATGTGTAGCAAAGACTCTTTCTTACAGTTTCATTGTCAAAAACAATGAACCATTGGAGGCTTGGGGTTGCCAGATATGTCAGTTGGCTTGAACAGTTCCACATTTAGCATATTTAGGAAGGTTTTTTCTTTCTTCTTCTTTTTTAGTTTCAGGGGTAGAATTTAGTGATTCATCAGTTGCATATAACACCCGGTGCTCATCACATCACATGCCCTCCTTAATGCCCATCCCCCAGTTACCCCATCCCCCACCCTACCACCCCTCCAGCAACCCTCAGTTTGTTCCCTGGAGTTCAGCATCTCTTA